TTTTTTTTTTTTGTTTTTTGTTTTTTTTTCTTTTTTTCCACTTCTTTGATTATTGTTTATATTTGGGAAAGCTGGAGGAGCATGGTTTTGAGCCTTTTCCTGAATCCAAGTTTTTCTAGCATGCGATCGTTCTGTAGACAAGGCGCTGTGTCTGGGAGTCCGCGGCGACCGTGCCCGCTGGGAGCGTCTCCCAAGTCCAGCAAAATGTGCAACTGGTTTTATGGAAAAAGCGATGTGAAGTATGGTGCCTATTTTTTTCCTCTGTAAAAATAAAAAGCATGTTTCTAACTCTTTTTTTGCATACTCTTTTTCTGATAACATTTTTTGTATAGGTGGGATTTTACGGCAGTGTTTACAAGTTTGTGGTCTTGCAATACTGGTGCAAACCACTGAGCAAAGACATTAATTTTATATTTTTGTGCCCTTTTTGGGAGCCGGTGAAAACAAATTCGTTTTTTTCCTCCTGTTTTTGATACCCATTGATAACATAAAACTTTTCTTACAGCTCGTGACTGGGATCATTTTTAAGCAAAATACTTTTTTCTTCCTCTAAATTAACTATGACTTTTGCACATTTGACTTTTTTAAAAAACCGAGATAATTTTATGATAGATATCCTGATATCTATATCTATATTATCCCTTATTTCTCCCCCTTCCCTCCCCGTAAATCAATTTTCAAATGATGGCAGTGGAAGGTTTTTATGGAAAAAAAAAAATGAAGTGCGGTTTGGTTTCCTTGTCAACGGAGGATGAAGTGAACAGCTGAGCAGCTCGCAGAGAGCAGGTACTTGGTCCCCTTGGAGGCGTTTCCCGGGTGTGCAATGGCAACACTGGTCCTAGCAAAGAAATGCATGAGTGAGAGAGAGAGAGAGAGAGAGTGTGTGTGTGTGTGTGTGTATGTGTGTTTGCGCGCGCGCATCTCCAGGCAGTGTCCGAGCCTTAGGTGGGGAGAGCCGCGCCGGGAGCCAGGGAAAACCAAAGTCTGTTCCCTGCCTCAGGATTGTTTTCTAGATGTGCGCAAAATACAGCCCCCCCGCACACCCCACTGTGAGCTGCGCCCAGGTCGTCTCCCGACGGGTGGCGTCTGCGCTGCGGGCGGCGCGGGCCGGCGGGCCATGTAAGTTATCCGAGGGCCACTTGCACAGCAGGAGGGGCAAGGGCTGTGTAAATGGCGCGGGCCGTCCGTCGGCTAAAGGGGACCCTCAGAGCACCCGGGAGATGGGGGCAGAAGCGGCAGAGACCGCATCTTCCGGAGGGGCTGGCTCCAGGCCACGCGGGCCGGAGCTCGAGACATTTCCAGAGCCTTGAGGATGGCAGCAGCCCCCGCACGCTCAACTCCTGCTCCTCCTCCTCGCAATGAGCAAACGACGCAGTAGGTCTTTCCCAGCCTGTTTTGCTTTTCCAAAGGGCTTTGCTTTCTTAGTGGTGCTGTTTTGGATCTTTCCTTTCCCTGTTGCTTTGCGTTGGCTTTAAGTGCCTGCTGGTGTCGTCTTCCAGGGGATGGGGAAATAGTTTTCTTGTGTGATGGTGACTTGGGTTTAATGTTGAGGACTAAGCTGTTAGTTTGCATTAATGACCCTACACCTGTAAGGGATAAAAACGCCTTTTGTTTAAATTTTAAGGGGGCAGTGTTTTCCCTCTTTTTAACAGCCTGATACCGACTTTAAAGGTTTTCCTCTGAGAACTGTGTACAGGGCAGGAGTGAGGGGTTAGTGACAAAGGTGATGATTTCGTGTGTTGGTAGCACTGAGGTCCTCAGTGTTGAATGCAGTCTATGATATTTTATGATTATTTGTTACATATTTTCGAATAATTTAGCATTACTTTTCAGAGATGGACCAGTGAGCAATAAAAAGCTTTTTCTGTATTTAACACTGTGACAGAATCTGCTGGAAATTTTTCTGTCCAAATAAATTTCATAAAGGCATACATTAGAAAATCTGGAGAGTCACCATTATTTAAATTATTTGATTTTGAAGCTTTTATTTTCTTACTTTTCCACACTTAAATGAAAAGTTTAGCTTTAAATTATCATGTATATATACTTTGGATACTGTAAAGTAAACATAAGGCAGATAAAACAACTTTTTACCTCTCAGATGAAGTTTTCTTCTAGGTAACTACAGAAATACAAACTAACTCCAACATACAGAGAGGCCTAGGACAAAGTACACAGACTTTTTCAAGCAAATATTTCACTGTGTTTAACCTCAGTTTGTGGAATGAAGAGTTTTATGACTTATTTTTTTACTCTTTGTGGTAAAAAACAGGGCCATTTTTCTGTAGAAGATTAAAAGTTACTATTATATCTGGAAAGCTGTATATACTTTTTATTCATAACGAATACAAGTATCTCAAAAGACTTCGGACACTTCATTGTGAGTTATTTTGTTCTCAGAGTAGCTTTTCCCTGTGAAGGAAATCCTGTTGCATTTATATAAAGAAGATAGTTTATGTCACTGTTTGTGGACACTATATTTGATATCTTGATGTGTGTGCTTCTAAGATTTAAAGTCAATATGATGGCACTAAGCCTGAAATTAGTATTTTCTTATTTTGTATGGTGAGCTAATTACTAAAATATAGTCTTTCATATGGTTCAAACTGCTAACATGAAACATTAAAAAAAGCTATTTGCAACATTCTGAGATTTTAAAAATCATTTTAATTATAACAAGGTATGTATATAGAAATGCTCATTTATTAAAAATGCAAGAGAATATTTGTGTATAATATATTTGGTATACTTTATGCATTGTGAGTCATTTCATTCTTTTAAGAGAGAGAGAACGAGACAGAGCAAGCAAGCAAGAAAGAACTTGAATTATCTAACCTGCATTTTCGTTAAGGCAATCAGTTGCTGCCCTAAGGTTGAGGTAGCTTCTGTCTTAAGATTGAGCAAAGCACTGGCTGTACTATATGATATTTCTCAATGAGATTGAAACCATTTGATATCAAATGGTTTCAAATGGGAACAAAAATAATTTTAATGTGAGGATAGAGAGGTAGTTGTGCTTTGATTTCTGTAACTTAATATCATTCTAAGAACCTTTAGTTACCTATGTTTTCATTTATTTAAGATTCATTTTTAATTATGTTGTATACTTGTATTACATTTCTATCTATTACATTCAAGTCTTTCAGATTTCTTCCTGTACGAATCATACTGGAAATTCTACAACTCTTAAACTGGCCACCTGTTTAGTTTTTGGTTTAAAATTGTTGAAGGTAGTAGCCTACATTTAGCACCGCCTACTGGCTTCTCGTGGAAAAAAAAAAAATTTTTTTAATCCATCAAGCAACCCACAGGGATTTAGATTGATTTAATTGTGCAGATTTTTTTCAACTGCTTACTGAGAGAGTGGGGTGGGAGTGGGGGATGGGAGAAAAAGTGTCTATTTTGCAAGGAGAGAAGGTTCCCAAGCTAAGGGTGAGGACTGAGAGAAAGAAGATCCACAAATTAAACTGGCATTGGATCACAAGCTGACCTCAAACATTTTACTATCTAAATTGTGACAAATAATCACAAACTGAAAACAACCTGTTACATTTTCTAGAACTTTCTATGTGATGCTAAAATATGGGTATTTTTACAATCTTGGATTACTAAATTAATTTTGCAGCATCTGTCTCAGCCTAGACATAAAGAAAGTCCTATTTGGAATTCTGTCTTGAGTATGTGGTCTATCCAAGACTATTTAAATGAATAAGTTTTCATCATTTAAGATTAACAATTATTTTTTTACATTCATATTTTCATGGTCATAAACAATCAAGTAGCACCCTGATTTTTTTCTTATCATGCATCAAATAACCATACCATGGTGGTATATATACAAGGGGGAAAAGTTCCAAACATACAATTATAAAGACACATATATTCTTAGCCATAACAGATGTGTTAACATTTTTAAAAATGATAGTTGGTTTATTTTCTCTAATTTGTATGAAATTCAAGTGGTTAAAAGAGCTACTATAATAATACAAACAATGTCTTCAGAATATAAAAGTAGTTAATTCGAAAAATAATTAGCTATGCTAAAAGTTTTCTTCCTAGTTAAAAAAATGTGAAATATTTGGATAGCTGTTTCTTAAATACAATATTTACTTATTTTAAGAGCCAGTAATAAGTATTTAGAAACTCCAGTGAGAAGTATATGTCTGTTGCATTTTTGCAACTCTACCCCAGTAATAATGTGGTCATGTTTTGTTTACTGATAGTGTGAGCATCTGAGTAAGCAGTGCATTCATTAATATAACTCTATATTTCAAATCTTGAAAAAGCTCCATTATGGAAGCAGAAGAGAGTGAAGTGGATATGTAAGATTGTTTGAATAATAAGAATGAATTTGAGGAAAAAATTTTAATTACAATTTATTTTTCTGACTTTTGAAACTTTTTATTTTATTTATTTTTGCGGATAGTATCTTTAATTCTCAAAACAATACTGCAACATACATATTTATTATCCCCATTTTATGGGCACCAAAACTGAGGCTCAGAGAAATTAAATAACATGCCAAAGGTCACAAAGTCTAGCGGAACTGGAGTCAAAATCAGGTCCATGTGATAACAAAGCTTTTTTTTTTTTTTTTTATAATCCATTATATCTTTTTTTTCTTTCCAACTCTTATTTAGTTTCAAGGGGTACATGTACAGTTTTGTTACATGGCTAAATTACATGTCACAGGGGTTTGGTGTACAGATAACTTTATCACCCATGAAACCTTTATTTTTAAATGATGATTAACTATGACTTTAAAAAATGGTTTCTTTACATCTTTTATCATACTTCCAATATGAAAACTGTTGTGCTCTGAAAATCTTAGGTAATTATTAATTTTATTCTCCAAGTTTTTTATGGACTTTCAGAAAGTACATAATAACGTGTTTAAAAAGGTCCTTATTGATCTGGAGTTATTGTTATTATTCTCCCATTACTGTTATTATCTACCACTTCCAGTGACTTCTACAAATGTGTATAAAGGTCCCACTTCCATAATTCAGTATGATTCAATAAATTTCACTTCAGTAATTGACAGGCAACATAAACTTTCATTTTATTGGCAATAAAAACAGTTTGTTTTGCTACACCATAGTTTTGAAAACATTATTCCATAAAATGTAAGTAATAACTGATTTCTGAATGTATCAATAGCTAGTTACACTGTTAACAAGTTTGCATAATAATATTTGCCATCACCCCTCCTTTTATTATTAAATTTTGATGTGTAGACTATATAGACCTAACACAGCTGTTGTCAACTTTAGTAGTTTTGCTGACCCTCATTGTTTTTAGATTTTCAATTATATATTGAGATTTTTTTTGTTAGGCTTATGTTAAATGTCAAGCTTACCTTGTTGAAAACTAACTTTGTGTTTTTCTAAATTCTTCCATACATTTAAAAATATTTTTGTCTGTTAGTTTTGAATTATCTTGCTACTTTTCTGGAACTGAGTTCTGGAAAATAAAGAGGAGGAGGTGATGGTTTAATGCCTTTTTCTTTTCATTTGTAGCCACAGAGATGGCAGTCAGAGAACTTCAGTTAGTATTTAGGATAAATATTTTCTGGACTGTCCTTGCAGACTCCTCTGCTGGGATCTAGACTTCAAGAGTTATTTATTTGGCCATGTAAAAATCTAAGTGGAGAGGAAAATTATGGAGTAGAACGTGGAAATCTTGCACTGGTCTTCTGAAAGATGCAATAATGTGCATCACTAAGTGCTCTTAGGTAACAAAATACTAGAGATATTCTGTGCATAAATATGTTTGGTAAAATTTCA